ACAAGTCGCGGACAAACGCCCGAGATCCCCAGACACGGAACGCAGACGCATCGCCAACCTTCCCCGTCCACAGCAAAGCTGGGGAGGTCTCCGGCATGGAGACCCGGGGCTGAAGGTTGATCTGATGCGCCGCGTACCGAACCGCAAACGGCCACAGAAAATGGGGGGCAGCCGCATGCATCATGGACGTACGGGCGACGTCCATGACCATGCCAATGCGGCGCTCAGCAATCCCATTTTGCTGTGGAGAGTCCGGAAGCGTGAAGGTCTGGCGGATGCCTCGTGCACGACAGTAGGCTCGTAGAAGGCCAGAGGAGAACTCTCCGCCTCTGTCAGAGTGCAGACGCAGAACAGGAAAGTCCGAGCCGAAACTCTCTCTGAGCTGGAGACGAGCTGCGCGGATCCAGTCGATCAACACCTCAGTGACACCACCCTTGCTGCGCAAGGGGAAGACTGTGGTGTAACGCGAGTAGTCGTCAACCACCAGCAGGAAGTAGCGCTCGTGACCCTGTCCACGGACGCGGGCCGGGCCCCACACGTCCATGTGAAGCGTCTGCAGCGGGGCCTCTGTCGGAGGAAACTGGGAGGAGTGAGGGGCAGCGCGCTGCCGCCCCTCGACACAGGGGACGCAGGTAGGGGCAGGCCCCGGAGGAAGGGGAGGGAGGGACCGGGGAAGACCAGAGACAAGGACACGGGAGGCCATGCCTCGGAGACGAGGCAGGGAGGGGTGACCAAGGCGGTGGTGCCAGAGGAGAGTCTCGTGAGACAGGAGGCGACACGAGCAGGGGGCAGACTCAGGACCAGACCTTGACGCTGCAGCAAACACCTGACCCGACGCAGCTGCCTGACCAGACGCAGTGACTGGAGGAGACTCAGTGGTCAGTGTGTACAGGCTCGACCCCGGCCGACGTGTAAACGTGGCCAAGTGTCGGCCCGTCCGAGCGTCCGTGCAGTGGGTCACACGCTGGCTCGCAGGAGTGAACTGGTGAACCCCCGCATCCTGTAGGTCAGCACCACTCACCAAGTTCGTAGAGAACGAGGGGAGGTAAAGACCAGACAGAGTGCCAGAGGGGGGCCGCCGGACACGGGAGGACAGTGGAGAAGTGAGCAAGGACAGGACCCCCAGAGGGGTCTGCCAGAGAGACAGCAACTGGCCGACCAAGCGGCGTGAGTGTGGTGCGGTCTCGAAAGAAGGAGCGAGAAGCCCCCGAGTCAAGAGTGAAGGTGTGGGAGGCCGGAGCCGACGCAGTACCTGAGAGAGCAGACTCACCAGCACCTGAGGAAGCAGACGCACTGGCACCTAGAGCAGCAGCCTCGCTAGCACCTAGAGCAGCAGCCTCACCAGTACCTAGAGCAGCAGTCCCAATGCAGCATCAAAGTCAAGGTCAAAGATAGCTACTTCCGCCCTAGACAGCTCGCCCCAGCGAGGGATCTCAGTGGCCTCAGGGAACTGGTGACGCCAAGCGTCCGTCAGGCGGCCAAAGCAGCGCTGGGTGGAGTGCGCACCCCCGCACGGCTCACCCGCGCGGTCGCCGGTGCGTAGGACGTAGGTGCACGGACCAGTACCCCCACCCCGCTGGCGTGCAGCGTACCACTCACGAAGCTGCTGAGGGGGGGGGATCTCACGAGTGCGCTGCTGCTGCTGCTGCTGGCGCTGACCACCACCGGAGCCGACCCTCTGCGCAGCGCCACCCCGACCAGCTCCACCTCCTCCGCCGCCGCCTCCTCCACCGCCGCCACCTCCGCCACCTCCGCTCCCACCGCCACCGCCGCCGCCGCCTCCGCCTCCACTGCCGCCACCGACGCCCCCACCCCCGCCACCACCCCCACCGCCACCCCCACCCCCTCCGCCGCCTCCACCGCCGCCTCCACCGCCCCCGCTAGCTCCTCCAGCGCCCCTGCCCCCCTTGCCCTTGCCAGTGCGGCGTCTCCCGCTAGGGGCAGACGCCGCACCGACTGACTCAAGACCAACGAGGTCGGCCGCAGCAGCAGAGGCAACAGAGGGCAAGAGAGGAGAGGGGGAGCACCCCTCAAAGACAGGGGCACGAGGGTCACCACGAGAGGCTCCTACAGCGACTATGCTCTTCTCTGCTGCTAGGAGGCGCTCCTCGAGGAGGTCAACGGTGAGGGTGGTGGGGCAAACAGAGAGAAAGTGGTCCCTGACCGGGCGAAGGGTGTCAGGGAGCCGGGTGACTACGTAGTAGAGGGTGATGTACATAGGGGGGGGGTTCTTGGCGCAGAACTCAGGAGGAAGGGCAGCGCGGTAGCGAGTGTCACTAGTGCGCAGGTGCGTAATGAGGTCAGCGACTGTGGGAAAAGCGGCGAGGTCAGGGAAGAGGTACGGCAGGATGAGGCGGCTAAGTGCAGCAGTGGCAGGGGAAGAGTAGCGTGCAACTACAACATCGTACAAGGTCTTAGCACTCTTGTACTGACTAAAGTGTGCACGCTCAGCGGTAGGCAAGTGGCGGCGCACAGCAAGACGGGCAGCAGCGCCGCGTGTGGCCCACTGTGAGCGAACAGTGGCGTCAGCATCAGCAGCAGGGGCAGAAGAGGCACCAGAAGTGAGGTCAAAGAGAGAGAGACCGTCTGCCCTGTCGCACTGTAGGAAAAGCTGCAGGTCATCTACCCAGACGTCAAAGTCAATGGCCCGACCCTCAGCGTCAAAAGCGAGGACACTGGGGGTAGCCATGACAGCAGTAGACTAGCAGCTGGAGCAGTAGGGTAAGGGCAGCGCAGTGGTAGAGGTGCCGCTCTTACCGGACAGGGCGGCTCGGGCGGCTCGGCAACTCGGCGGCTCGGCAGCAACTGCAGCTCGGCGGCTCGGCGACTCGGCGGCTCGGGCGGCTCGGGCGGCTCGGCGGCACGGCGGCTCGGCAGCAACTGGAGCTCGGCGGCTCGGCGACTCGGCGGCTCGGGCGGCTCAGGTGGCTCGGCGGCTCGGGCGGCTCGGGTGGCTCGGGCGGCTCGGCAGCAGCGGCGGCTCGGTAGATCGGCGGCTCAGCGGCGCCGGCGGCTCGGTGGTGACGGCGGGGCCGCGTGGGGACGGCGGCGGGGCCGGGTGGGGCGGCGACGAGGCCGCTGAGGGCGGCGGCGAGGCCACGAAGGGTGGCGACCGGCGCCTTAAGGGTGGGGCCGCGGGGTCGCAAGGGTGGGGCGACGGGGCCAGCAGAGGCGGCGCCGGGGCCGGGAAGGGCGGCGCCGGGGCCGGGAAGGGCGGCGCCGGGGCCGGGAAGGGTGGCGCCGGGGCCGCAAGGGTAGGCGACGGGGCCGCGAGGGCAGCGTGGAGGGGTCGCGAGGGCGGCTCGAGGAGGCCGCGAGGGCGGCGCGAAAGGGCCGCGAGGGCGGCGCGAAAGGACCGCGAGGGCGGCGCGACGCGACGGGACCGCGAGGGCGGCGCGACGGGGTCGCAAGGGCGACGCGACGGGGCCGCTAGGGAGGCGCGACGCGACGGGGCCGCTGAGGCGGCGCGACGGGGTCGTAAGGGCGGCGCGACGGGGCCGTGAGAGGGGAGCGCGACTCGGGCAGAGGCTGAGCGCGCTCCGGGCAGGAAAAAAAAATTGGTGGGCCCTAGGAACAATTCCCACAGGGGAACCGGCTCTATACCATGTGAAAATGAACGAGGAAATGAAAAGACTAAGGGAAAGTTGGGTACAAGTACAAACCCTAGAAAGCTGTACCCCATATGTGCTACCCCACTATAGCCTACAGCCGCTAAGTCATATAAATCTGACAAAGGACACTACGAGGAAGCGCCGCAGTTGGACCGTGCGTGAGAAGCTTAAGTGGGCGCGCCGCTATCTGGAGCTCGGCTCCTTGAAGAAGACGAGCGTGGAGTCAACCGCGTCCATCGCCTGCATCAGACGCTGGAGTGCGGAGGCGGCTGCGGGCGTCTACAAGGGCGCGGCTACTTGCCGCAAGCGGATGCACGGGGGGGGGCGCCACTCACACTACCCCGACATGGAGGCAGCATTGTACCGCTACATCTGCCTTCAGCGCGCTAACGGGGTGGCCATCTCGGTGAAGGACACCCGGAAGTGGAGCCGCGAGTGGATGAAGAAGCATCACGCCGGCAAGAACTGGAACGCGAGCTCTCACTGGAGCCAGCGTTTCCGTGACCGCTGGAACCTGGTGATGCGGGTGAAGACCAAGGTCGGCCAACGACTGTCGGCAGGTGCGTGTTGAAGGAATTCGTGTCGCGCGCGGGCTATTGAATGCATGTCCCTCACCCAGTGTCTAACCATCCCGTGTTTCCGTTGCGCGTGTACCGTTTGCAGAGTGCGCGAAGGACTGCGAGTCCTTCTGGAAGTTCGTGCGCATCAACAGGGCGCGGCACAACATCGACCTGGCCCGCATCATCAACGCGGACCAGACTCCACTATTCGTGGAGATGCCAGCCGAACGGACGATCGAGCACCGCGGCGCGCGCTCGGTCCCAATCCGCACTGCAGGCTACCAGAAAACGCGCTTGACGGTGATGCTCGCGTGCACTGCATCCGGGGAGAAGCTGCGGCCGTGGGTGTGGTTCAAGATGAAGAACGTCCCCAACTGTGAGATTCCGGAAGGTAAGCGTAATGAATTCAACCGTGCGACTGCCTGATGAGCGTGCCCCACTGTGCTGAAGCCCGTCTGTCCCTTGTGTGCCTGGCAGGAATCGTGGTCCAAGCACAGGACAACGGGTGGATGGACGAGAGCGCTGTGCAGACCTGGCTGTCCAAGGAGGTGCTGCCCCATCTGAACCCCCAGCGCGGCCAGAACGCGAGGCGTGCGATGCTGGTGTTGGACTCCTACCGCGGTCACATCACCCAGACCATGCTTCAGTCGTACCGCACGCACAGCATCACCCCTGCAGTCATCCCAGCGGGTTGTACGAGCCAGATTCAACCCCTGGACGTCTCAATCAACCGGTGCTTCAAGGCTGCTGTGCGAGCGCGCTACGCCAGGTGGTTCATGCGTGAGGGGATTCACCTGAAGACGAATAAGGGTGAGTTGGTCCTTCATTTATGGTATTATTCCTATTCTGTTTCCTGTCCTTGTCTTAAACATGCTCCTTCATGTCCGTGTCTCTAACATCTCGCTGCCCCGTCCTCAAACCCACCCGCAGGAAACCTGCGGAGGCCGCCCCACCCCGTGGTGCTGCAGTGGATCGCGGAGGCTTGGGATCAAGTCCCCAAGCAGATCATCATCGACGCGTTCCGCCACTGTGGGATCTCAAGCAAGCTGGACGGAACGGAGAACCACCTGGTGATGTCTCACCTGCGCGCCAGGAGCACCACTGATGTCTCCGCGGACATGTCCCTCGGGGGGACCACAGGCGACAACACGCGCCTGCTCGGTCGGGCTCCAGAGGAGGAGGAGGAGGAGGAGGAGGAGGCGATGCAGGCGGAGGGCGTGCGGGAGGTGGCAGTGGCAACCGGCCTGGAGGTGCTGTACCAGTAGACCCCCAACTACCGCGGGGCGGCGGCCGAGGCTGACCGCATGATCGAGCCTAGGGAGACGGCTAGGCATGCCTGGCGAGTGCCAGACCTGGGTGTAGAGCCTGTTGTTAGCGCAGGCGAGGAGGCGGTGACTGAGGGGGGTTAGGTAGAAGTAGAGATTCATGAATGTATGCATGTACCCCCCTAAAGTAAAGAAGGCTCGTTTAGAAGACACCCCCTGTTTATAAGAAAACCCCTAAACCCCGGTTCTGATTATAAGACATATATGTCTTAACTCGTACACACAAATAGGTGTCGTATAAAAAGGCTAGCCTGTTTATAAGAGACACCCGTATAGTAGACAACCCCTGTCTACTATTCAACACTGTCTTATATCCGGGCGATGACGGTAAACATCCAACACGTGGCCAACCAGACGAGCACGTTACAATACAACATAGGTATCTCAACCCTAGGTGTCGATCAATGATTGCGTACCTGCTGAAGGGCGACACTCCGTGCCTGGTCATCTGCTACCTCATCGGCGGCGGACATCTTCTCGACCAGCTCCGACGTAAGGCAACGTCGCGTGATCGAGGCCTCAGCGTTCCTCTTGTTGGATGCTCGGTATGGCTTCTTTATCAGTGCCACGTGCACGTGCTCGTAAACGTCAGTGCAGTAGCGAATAGGCACGCCACGGCGCCTGATGTCGTCGCTGACGTGTAGCATCGCGTGAATCTTCGGGATGTTGAATTTCGATGCTTGTTCTTCCACGCTGAACTCGTCGATAAGTATGGGAACAAGCCTGCGCATTCACCCATCACATGGCACAAAAATAGATGATTAGATCAAAGCATTTAAATGTTGAGCTGCGAAGGCATGTTTGATGCAGCTCTGCCCTAGGACGAATTATCACATCTCGTACTCACGTGCGCGCGATCTCGTCAAGGTTGGCCAGCGACTCGTCAGTGTGGTATGTTCGATGCCATGCCTCCCTGTGCCACGTACAGTACAGCTCCACAGCACGAATAATCCTCTCGTCCACCTTCACCGTCAGCAGCATCGCTGGCAGAACTTGCATCACAGCCTGATGATGGAATGCCTTGAAGGTTGCATGGCCGCTGAAGTATCCATCAGTGTGTGCAGGAATCCGAAAGAACGACTGTCTGCTGTACAGAGTGATGCGTTCGAGTGCAGCGTCAAGTTCCCGCAGGGTCCCCGTACTCAGCTTCACCTTCAGCCCCTCCAAGATGTGCTTGTACACGCCGAGAAGGGACATGTGCATGATGTCGGATGTCAGTTGCCGCTACGGGTTGCCGAAGTCAGTGTCGCCAAAACGTTGTCCCCACAACGCACTCTGTAATTACATGTGCACGCACACACACTCACACATACACGTACACACACACATGCACACACACACACATATGCTCGCACGCGCGCGCACACACTCACGCGCACATACTCACACACACGCGAACACACACACGCACACTCACACACTCACACGCACACACACACACACTCATACACAGACACTCACACACACTCACACTCATACACACACACACTCACACACACACACACACACTCACACACCCACACACACGCTCGCACGCGCGCGCACACACTCACGCGCACACACTCACACACCCACACACACGCTCGCACGCGCGCGCACACACACACGTACACTCACACACTCACACACTCACACACACTCACACACACACACACACACTCACACACCCACACATACGCTCGTACGCACGCGCACACACTCACGCGCACACACTCACACACACTCGCACACACACACGCACACTCACACACTCACACACACACACTCACACACACACATACTCACACACCCACACACACGCTCGCACGCGCGCGCACACACTCACGCGCACACACTCACGCGCACACACTCACACATACGCGCACACACACACGCACACTCACATACTCACACATTCACACACACACACACACACATATACACACACACATATACACACACACACACACATACACACACGCACACACAAACAACCAAACAAACACGATACCCGTTAGCTTTGTTGAACGAGTCAAAGCTTTACAATTCTATCCAAGTTGCATATAGGCGTCCGACAAGACATACCTTGACGCAATGTGTGCTGTGGAGCTTGGACAAATCCTTTCGTGCCCCTTGTGTCGGCGCGCTCTCCATTTCCATCACATGTTGCATCTGTCCTTCCTCCGTCCGGAAAGTGAGAGGGTACTCCATGTTACTCAGCTCCTCCCTCGGAACGGTGCACCTGGGGCATGGGAGTCGAGTCTTGATGCCAGACTTGGTCCCTGCAACCTTGCACTGCTCTGGATAGTCGCCGATGTAGGAGTACGTGATCGGGTATACCGTACGAAGAATGCCATACGGGTCTGTCAACTCCATTCCCCTGCAAGCAACAGATACATAACGGTACTGTCAACTGGTGTATGGCGATACAACACTCCAACACGCACAATAGACGATTACAACATATTGCGATCGCGTTCAATCCACTTACGAGTGTTGCGCCTTCTTCAGGTCTTCCATGATGAGATCAAGCGCTTCCTGGAACACCTCAAGCCGCCGTTTCTTCCTAGCCGCGTCCGTGAAGAGAAAGCCATCATACTCGGGCAAGAGAGCACAGAGCCTGTGCCCGTGGGGTTTCCATCGATTCCCAGGAGCGATGTTGGCCAGCGAAATGTACACTGGCCAACCTTTCAGCCCGCCATCGGTCGTCAGGGTCGTTTCATCTGAATAGATGATTACCGCAGCTACGGCAGTGGGTGGGTCAGCACCAGCAGGCAGTCGACGCAAAACCTCCCGCCACCAACTTCCCGTCTCAGGACCCTTGTAGATTTGTTTGCCTTGGGTAGCTTTCTTCCGAGGTCTCACCACGAAGCCGTGCGCATTCGCCACGTTCTCGTATAAACCTTGTACGCACGAGAGAGCCGAACGCCGCCAGAGAATCACAGGCTTCAAATCCCCTTCCTTCGTCAACTCCACCTGCTCGAACGGTTCAATGTTCGCCCCTGCCAATTGCTCCTCCTTGTACTTGTCGAACTCTGCAAGAGACTTAATGGTAAGCCGTCCGGGATTGGCCACCACTTCGACGAGAATGGATACTAGTTCCTTTATATCCACACGCGATAGCCCAGATCCACCAGCTGCCGTGCGAACCAACCGGTACACCCGAGCATCAATATCAACCGAAGTTGCATCGCACTCAGGGGCAAACAAGTAGCCCGTCGCATCCTCATTCAATTCAGCCGCGTCAGGTTGGTGATCCAAACGGCTCGTCCCTGGTTGTGTTTGACTTCGTGGGCGTTTGCTGGATTTCGAGAGAATGCGGTCTGCAGCTGCTTGAAGACTTCCTACAGCTCCTCCTTGGCTGCTGTCATCTCGCAATCCCTCAGATGTGGCCTCTGCTGGTTGGAATTTGTGCTTTCCTGCCTTGACGTGACGTGCTTTCTGATGTGCAAAAGAGAACGTCGCTATACATCCAGGGTTGCCACACTTGAAAGGCCTCAACTGATCAGCCATGTTGCAGAAAGGTAGGTTGCAGGTATCCAACTGTAGCACAATAATGTGCTGTATTACATTGAAGTACACAAAACACCCACTCCAAGCTGCTCAGTGCTACTATATCTACAACTTCTACAACCAGAAACTGTCTTGGCCGAAGGGTAAAACAGCAACCTTGTGATTTCCTGCAGGATCAGAACAAAACGAAAATCCAGGACATGTTAAAAACGCCAACCACTTCCAGTAAAACAATAATAACAAAGCACAATTGGACATAAGACAGGAATCAAACGAACACATACGCTAAATTGTTAGACAACGTTGTGCAGCATGATCGAAAATGCTTACCAAGAGCTTCAGTGTAAAGGCGTGAATGGAGATGAGCGGACCACAAGGAGACACGCTTGCAGATTGCCAAACCTTGGTATGATAAAAAGGGGGGAATCAGCAAAACATCAAAGAAAATCGTGGCAGAACATAACGACTGACGTCAACGCATAAAAAATCCGTCATAAAATCACATTGTCAGATTGATCGACTCAGCGAAGACAAAGGTTAGTGACATTTAAACATAAATTTGAATTTACGTTGATATGGTAGCGAAATGAAAGTGCACCTGCCTACAAAAAAAAAAAAATCACCTACATTTGTCACAGTGACGCACTCCGATGGGTCTCGTGGTGCTGTATCAATATCCTCAATGCGCCTATTCGAATCCGACACGAGCTTGAGGTGGCAGGGACGTAGGCTAGGCGCTGGAGCTTCTGGAGAAGCTTGAGTTAAGGAAGGTGAAAAAAAAAACACAATCTGAGAGAAACAAGTGAGAAATGACGAAGCCTCAGAGACTACCCCCCCGAACGGAAATGCTTGGGGGGAGGGCGAGGAGATAGTTGAAAGGGACCTCTGAAGGACGAGGTGTCATTACATGTGTGTTACACACCCAACCTGAAAGTTTACAACAGTTGTTTAGACACGTTTGACCTCGCACAACCGCACTTCACCTTTCATTTCATTACGAATTCACGTTTTGTTCGTTGCGATGGAGGGAAATACGATTCGGCCAACTTCATACATACTCAGATTAGTCCCGAACGGGCTCTCAGGTGTAATCAAACTGGACTTTCTCAACTTTGATTGGTCGTCGCTGTTTAGTCACATTGTTTACGCTGGTCGAAATCTTTAGGAAGTGACAAAAACATAACTGTCTAGTTTGCCCTCCCGACCTGGATTTGTTAAATTAAAGTTCGTAAATTCACGACAGGGCAGAAAAACTAAACCCCTAAAAAATCTGGACAAATTTTCGGGAGGGATCATCCCTAAACACGAGAATGGGCATTGTTTTTAGGGTTGATGCCTCCCGAGTCGCATCCCATTCCGATTGGGTTTTATTTTTTGGGTCAAGAGGGTGCAATATATTTCTCCTGAAGTGGGCGGCTTCCCGTAGTTAGGGTTGATCTGTCTCGAAA